GTGGGACGCACAAGGGGCACGTGAACTTGTGCAGCGCCTGGCTGGCCCGGGGACGCGAAATCAAAGACAACGCCGCCCATCAGTGCGGATAGGGCATTAACTGCGCCATTGAACGGGCCTGCGACCGGCACGAAGGCGTGCACGTTCTTTTGCACCCAACTCTTGCCCCCGCGCTTTGCGTTTGCCCATTTCAGGAACGCGTGCGTGAACGGAGCCGCCATCGAAACACCAGTCAGCACAACCGGCTGACCATTCCTCGACACCGCGTCTGAGATTGTCCTGAAGAAGCGAGGAAAGGCTTCTTGCTCCCAGTCGGCTACGCTCAACCGCCAGTCGTAGCCCATCGGGAGGATATCGACGTCTCTGACAAACCCTTCGGATTCCAGCCGTTGGGTTAGGTTGCCGTACACATCAATTCCGAAAAACGTCAAGCCATCCCAACCCTCGGCAACCCTCACCTGGACATGCTCCGGAGACTTGGTGCGGTTCGTCGTAGGGTCGAAGGTGAGTCCCAGCTGCGCGTGGGAGCTGTGCAACGCACACGCTGCGGCAAACTTGTCCAAGTTCACCCACGCCGTCGTCCACGTTGGCGTCCACGGACTGCACGGGTTGAGCCATCGCGCATCGTTGACTTGCAGCGTCTGTCCTAGCAGTGGCCCTACGAGCACCACTGGGTGGCGAACGCTGCTGTCCCTTGTCGTGCCGGCGGGCTGGCGCTCGGCGACGAAGGCAAGCCGGTCGGTGTCGCGCTTGGCGAAGGAGCCGTGGCGAAGTGTCGCGCCGAGCGCGAGAAGGGCGACGCCGAGCACGAACAGTTGGACCGTCGACGGGAGCTGGCGGGATCGCAGCGGTGGGTCCAGCATCAGCCGCTACGAAGGAAAGCACGAGCGCCGAAGGTCAGCGCTCAGCGCGGCGCCCACGCCGGCCGCGTGGGCCCAAGGCCCGCCTAAATTCGAGAGAAAAAGAATTTTACCTCGAGAAAGAATTTTACAACAAAACTCCCTCGCACAACACTGGGCACGGGACTGGCGCGCACTGGCACTAACATGAATTTTACAACGCCCACTCGCACAACACCGGGCACGGGACTGGCGCGCACTGGCACTAACACAGGTACACCACGCAGAAAAAGAAACAGCGCGTTTTGCGCTGGTGTCCAGTCTGAGCCTGACTGTTCTTCACCTTCCTATACATACACACATATACCTTTATACCTCCCATTGCAGAGTTTGCTTCTTCCTCTGCTGTGCCTTTTGTGTGGTGCTAGTTCGTGCCAGTCTGCTGTGAGAGGGGCTTGACAAATGCTCACCGTGCTGACCGCTACAGCAGCGCCGGCGCCACGCCGCCTCGAGGCTTACGCTTAAGGTCTCCGGGAGCTCCGCGTGCCGGGTTGTAGTACAATACAAGAAAATGCCCGAGATTCCGAAATTTTTGTTCGCAGCGAATTTTGTTAAATTCTTTTTCTCGCGAATGACCGCCTTCTGGTAAAATTCTTTGTCCACCACCCCGCCGCGCCGCCGCTCGCGCCGCCTCGCCTCCTCCTCCACCGCCTCGCCTCACACACCGCCGCCCGCCCGCCTCCTCGACCTGCCCTCGGAGCTCCTCGAGCGCGTCCTCTCTCGCTGCGACAGCCCCCTCGAAATCGCCCGCGTCGCGGCTGTCTCGCTCCTCTTTCACGCCTCGCTTGCGGAGGAGGGCATCCGCTTGTGGGCGCAGCTG